ATAGCTTAGATTTAGTTATGGTAATCCGTGTATTAAAAGACCTGTCAATCAGTGAGGGAATAATAGCAAGTTCAAATCTTCTGCTTTGGTTTTTGATGGTGGGGGCGACCCTTTTGTTTACTTTTGTTTAGATCTGGATTATGGGTTGTGCTCTTCGCCCACCTCGAAAATAATTACTAAGTGTTTTGTTTGTTTAAGTGACATGATCAGTGTGTCATTGCTGTTTTGTCATGAACGTCAAGACACATTCAGCAGTGCAGAGACTACTACTACTCAGAAACCCTGGGCCCTGCCACTGCCATTACATAGATGAAATTACAGGTCATTACTTCCAGGCCGAAGTACCTGAACACGGAAAGGTGACCTTTGGTGGGGCGTGGGCGCTCGTGTTGCTGCAGCAGCATATTCGGTTGTTAGACTATTGTTTATGGATCACAACCACATTTACAGCCTCTTTTATGTTTCACCTACAGAGTCGATGCATATGAAAAATAGGTAATGTGCAAGAAATACACACTAAAAAGGCCGCAGATGGGCTAAATTGCTGGGTTGGGTGCGCACAAAAAAATTACGTAGACAGAGAGACAGTGAGGCGAAAGAGAGAGAGAGAGTTCACTTAGCTTTACAGTGTGTGTGTGTGTGTGTGTGTATATGTGTGTATATCTGTGCATGAGCCTGCAGACACCTGCTCCATTCTGCAGTGATGGCTCCCAGCGGGACACAGGCTCAGCTGCTGATCTCTAGGCCCTCCCTGCAGCACTGGTGGCCAGCACACACACACATACACATACACACACATACACACACAGCTCTTCCAACAAATCTGAACCCTTAAGGCCCCCCTCACAGTGTCTCTCAGCCTCTCTGTGTCCCCCGTAACTGACACACCACATGTGCTCATATCAAGTGCAAACATGACATGATGTACACACACATACACGCACAAAGCTGCACAGTCTGCGTTCATATGATGTTGCATGTAAATTCTATGACACGCTGCGGTCATAACCTGCTCCAGTCTGACACATGCTATAGGGATGATATAGCTGACTAGCACGTCTTTTTTCCACTACCCTATAGCTAAAAGGCTTTACTAAACACTGCACTACATCAGACCTCCATATTATGTGCTGCTGTAATCGTAGTTTAAAGGATACAGTGATAAAAAGGATATATTTTGGCCTTTTCTTGTTTGAATCCCTAAGATAGTTATTTTGATCTTTTTAGAGGATCACTTAATGCCTCATAGTAATAATATAATACGACATTTCTTTTTGTCAGCCTTGCATTAATCAACCACCATTCTACTTGTGGCATGATTGTTATTGTTGATGCTGCATTTTGCACATTTCTTCATCTCTCTGACTATGAGCATCTTTTTCCCTCTGTGGCATCGTGTGGCAGGGTTGTGGAGCATAAATGAACTAATTTTCCTGGATATAGAGAACACCGCAATCAAGGAAAGGGGAAGTGCAGCAAGCGGCAGATGGAAGGAGCTAATCATTGTTATGAAATAGAGATGACCTCTAACTATCTCCTGGCTGCTAATGTACCGTAGCTACACATGTTTGCCCGCTTCTTTGCCATGTACCCCTTCTCTCCTTCTTCCTCGTTTGCCTGTTTGTTGTTGTGGTGATGATGAACCTCTTCAGGAAGGTCTGGAATGCAACCCTCTTTCTTTTTTTTATGTTGAAACAGAAAAGATTGGAGTTGTCAAACAAAGCCTAGTGTCACATAGAGAACGGCAGCTGCCTGCAGTGGGTAATCAGTGGAGCTTTCTACAAATTAACAGCATTCAGCTCTGAAGCACGGCGCACTGCAGGTTTTCAGATGTGGGCTTTTGAAAATTAGATCTCAGTGACTGAAATACGGAATAATTTGCAATTCCGTTTTTGTTCACGTTTTTTATTTATTTGATCCGCTTTGTGTAAGGTGCCATGGCTGAGATTGCCTGGTCATCCTGGCGCTGTAAACTAATACTGCGGATGCTCATTTTGAACAGAGTAATATCAGTCTAAATTTCATTAACTGCATGCTGAATCTCTCCTCTGTGTGCCTTGGTTCTGACGGGCTCTGATTTTAATTCTTTGAATGCTCTTTTAAATGCACAGGTTTAAAGATGCATAACTGACCACATGCATGTAGCACAAACATACACACGCATATGCTGTCATCACACAGTGTTGCCAGGGGGGGTAATGGTAGACTTTGCTGCGGCGAATGGTGTGTCGAAGTACAATTTTATATATATGGAGCAATGTTTTGCTGCGGGTATAGAGTTTCTGTTTTTCCGTTTGATATAATCGAAGTAAAAAATGTGATGCTCGTTTTGAATCTTTACACACCAAAGCCACCAGCATCTTCCAGCACATTTATCTAATGTATGCAAATGATCTTGCTGTGCTTAATGAAGGCACCATTAATCACTATAACGATGGTCTTTTTTAACCAGGGTAATCATGCGCACGCACACATATACACACACATACGCACATTTTCATATGCACACACGTGCATATGTGCTTACACACTCACTCATTCTCACACACACACACACACACACACATACGTACACCCTCACACACACACACACACACAGGAAGATGCCTCTTCACGAGCAACACATTGATGACAAATACGCAAAATCACAAAAATAAACCATTACCAAACCATTTTACAAGAAATGTAACTATGTATGATAGCCACTCAGTTATTAATAACAGTGTTTTGAATTCATTTTGTTCCCGTACTTTTTTGTGTTAAATTTAATGTAATTTGCAACTGGTCATCTGGCTGGCTACGTAATAACCTCAAATTCTGTTATTCCATTTAATAACACGCCAATAAGATGCATCAAAATATGTTAACACGTCAATCATATTTATATAATAAATTCAGCTAATTAGTTCCACTAGTTTCAACAAATAATTTATGGTCCAGCAGCTTTATGCAAACAGCAGATAACACTGTTGTGAGTCTAAATGGGCAGTGGAAAACAGTCATTTTGTGTGCTGTATAATAACAACAAAACACTGGACAGACTTCTTTGAACTTGTGTAAGAATTCAAAGCAAAAAACTGAAAAAACATTTGTGAAGCCCAACTCCTAACGGACGCATTTCACCGCTTATCCTCGCCATGCATTTGCATACAGTTGACGGAAACCCCTGGGTACAGTCAGCAGCATGACAGTAGGTTATGAAGGCTTCCGGGAGGCTCTGGGGTGTGGATCTGAGCCAGTTTGAAGGGGAGCCGAACCAATGAAGAGCCCACAGCGGATTAGACACCCACAGCTTCATGTCGCTTTAATGCGGCGAGTCAGGGATTTTTTTACAACGCCTTTGCCTAAACGCTCAGGGTTTTCTCATGCCCCTTTTTCTCTCTCATTCCCTTCCCCTTGAAGTAATCTTCTCTTTTAAATGGCAGAGTAATGTTGTCTCCAGTGCAAAATATCCAGTCTATCCACAGTGTTCCTGCTCCTGTGTTAATGTGACTTGTCAGCTGTTTATTGGATTTGAATTAGATTGATAGTTATGATCAAATGTCATTTTCAAATCTGCCATCATAAATAACTGTGCAGTGCACCTCCTAAGGGTGTTAAGAAAATAATCTTTCCTTTACAAGGATGTTATATAAAGTTTAAAATGGTAGAACTGTAGGTGTAATGCCTATTTGTTAATTTACTATGAAAGTTAAATTCATCATTACGGTGCAAATACAAACGTTAAATGCAAATACTGCAGATGCAAACAGGATTCACAAAATACAACAAACAAAATATATTAACCACACAAACACACACTGACACATGCATGCACACACACAAACACCTCAAATTCCCTTGATAACAATCTGACTGGCAGAGGCTAAAGACAGAGTAGGCGTTCGTAATTGAACAAACATAACAATGTAAATATTTACTAATACTATCCATTGGGGATACAGGCAGAATCCCGCAATTGATTTGCTCTGTTTCTGCCCTTTTGCTCTGTTCCTTTCACACACACACACACACAGATTACCAAACATACTAAAATTACCACTCTGTTCTTTTTTCCCTGTTCCTTCTTCTTGCTATTATTCTTGCCTGTGTTCATTAAAGAGATGGAGATATATTGGTCTGTCTATCCTCTTACCAGGGGTGACCTGTAGCCCATCTGGGCTGGCGATGACGGGAGATCCCTGGGAAATAGCGGCGAGCGCGTCTCGGGGACGGAGCCCACGCCACTGGCTGCTAGTCCCGAGAGCTGCCCGTACCTCGCCATCATCTTGAGATGCTGCTCACAGAACACACACACCTCAACACAGACACAGGAGAGAGGGAAGGAAGAGAGAGAAAGAGAGAAAGAGAAGAGAAGAGAAGAGAAAAAGAGAAGGGACGGGTGTAGGAGAAAGGGAAGGAGAACAGATAACAGCAGGTAGGAAGGACGGTGAGAATGGTAAAGGAACAGAAGAGGGAGTGGGGGGTGTGGGTGGGGGTGGGGGGGGTGGGGGTGGGGGGACACATGAAGAAAGAGGAGGTAGAGGGGGATTACAGAACACTTTGCCCTCACACAAATGCATGTGTGAACACACGCGCACATACAGGCGTACACACTCGCACTTGCAGACATACTGTACGTGCACATAAAGGCACACATACAATTTTAGCCCCAGGTGGGCAATTTCACAACCAAGCCTATGTTGGATGGGTTTGATAGCTACCTTGGTTGTGTTACAATAACGGGGATATGCAGTCTAGGCACTAGCTCTCCATTTATTATTACAAGCCAGGTTGAGTGTAAGAAGCGTAGCAGTTCCTTTTTCTCCGTACCAACTATCGTACCCGGAAAATATAATAGCTGCTGTTATCAGTCATCCCCTCTGTCTTCTGGCTATGAGCATACAGAAGTGTACAGACACGCACATGCACGGACATACGATAACACACATGACAGAATGGTTGGCAGCAGACACACACAGGTGAGGTGTGAAGAAAGAAGCAAATCCAAATCTCTTTACCTCATTGCTCAACAAAGCGGCGTTGAGTGTTCGGCTTATTTCGAACATGTTCAGATTCGGTGCTTTTTTTTTTCGTTCTGTCCTTTTATTTTCAGATTCTCTTCAGTTCTTTGCTCCCCTTTTTCTTGTCTACGGTTGGGAGTCAGTCCCGGGAACACAAAAAAGAAAGAAAGAAAAAATGAAATCAATTGAAAAAAGAGGGGGATAAAAAAAATCCTCTTTAATTTTCTGGTTTCTGGAGTTGTGATCTTTCAGCGCTCTATTTTTTTCTTGTTGATGCACCTCTGCTGGCTGTGGCTGTAGTGGTGGCGTTTGTGCCCAGGGTCTCCGCACACGTCTAAGGAGTCAATATGCTGTTTTTTTTTTTAAATCTCCCCAGAGTCAGCACATTAAAACAGGCAGTCAGGCAGTCGATGGGTCGGTGGGTCGGGCTGGCGGGCTGGCTGGCTCCCTTATCTGTCCCCCGCACACTGGCTCACACAATACGCTCCGATCCTCACACTGCTCGCTAGCAGATTAGCCTGTCCCACAACATAGCACTTAGTTTAAACTCCCCTCCCTTTTGCTCTCTCTCTCTCCTCTCTCTCTCTCTCTGTATCACTCCCTCTGGCTCTCTCCTTTGCTCTCCCTCCCTCTGTTGCTCTATCTCTCTCACTCCATCTCTCTCTGCATCACTCTCTCTCTCTCTCTCTCTCTCCCCCCCCCATTGCTCACGCATTGATGCAGCTACAGTTCGCTGTGCTACCACAAGGTGGGAAGACTGTTCTAGCAACAGCGACACCATCGCCGCCACATCCTCTCCGTGCCACTCCTATCTTTTACATTTTTCCTCACTTCTCCTCTTTCGTGTGTGTCTGTGACACACAGCTACAGTATAGATGGTAAAGGAACGTTTGCACTTATAGCAGCTCTCACTCCCTGTCCAGATCACACATACAACCAGGGGTAAATGGATTGGTTAGGGGGTGTGAGGACTAATATTGTGCGGTCCTATTATCTAATTACGGTTCTTACAAAAACAGGTTGTAGATTTAAGTGTGAAAAGGGACTATCAAAGACTTTTGGGAAGCACTTCCTTGGAGGTATTTTTGTGACTGGTACATTTTAAGTAATGGAATGTAATAAAAGATGAACATTATAAAGAGACCTCAAGAGAGTGGAAATGAATGGTACCTCTTAGTAATAGGCAGCAGAAGGGAAAAAGTGAGGGTTGGGCTGATGTGAGCATCAAGGTCAGGTGGTTGTCCTTTTCCTCAGCAGGGTGTGGCACAGAGATGACGAAGCAGCTAGTCACAGGCATGGCAGGAGATCCCAACTACAGAACAAATAAACAAGGAAAAAAAAGATAAGGGAGACTTGTGCCAAGGATATGATTCACCACATTCTTGGTTTCAGTCGATAGCACCTGAGAGATTTCAAAGTATGACTCAGAGTGTACTGTAGCTGCATCTAGTTTATGCAAAAAAGGCAAAATGTTTATGAAATTGAAGACTACGGTTTTAGAGAAAATAACAAAAATATTTTATGAAAATGGTGCTGAAGGTGTGATTGGTATCACCGTTATTTTCACTAATGCTAATCTTAGTGGTGCCTTATTCGTGGCTCCAGCAACATGGCAATGGATTTATTCCCAGTGCTTTGAATGTGCTTTTTGCTGTCTTGGATCAGAGTGGGGATAGTGGCCAGTTAATAGCAGCCTATTGACACTGGACCATCTGTTTAGGTGGATGCTGTCCAGCAAAGCAGGGAGGGAGGGAGGGAGAAAGGGACAGAGAGACGGAGGAAGCGACAGATAAAGAGAGAGGAGAGGGTGACGATTAATGGACGAGAGAAGGGGTAACGGCAAGGTACAAAGCAGAGGAAGTGTTAGCAAACTGTTAACGGTTTATGTAAACCAAAAAATATGTAGAAAGACTCACACTTGGATGCGGCTTATCATGCTGTTTACATGTTTTAAATTAGCAGATTTTCTCTTTACATTTTCGTCAGTAGCAGGGAATGTGAAAGTATCATCAGCGACATCACTGTGTTATAGCACTGTTGTACTGTCTTGGCTTTAGTTCAATTTTTTTTCTCTCAGAAAAGGGCTGCTAGCCACATCCCTGTTCTGTAAAGCCCGTGGTCTCTGGGGATGGCTGGTCCGGCAGAGCCTGGGGGGGGAGCTGTCAGTTGAATCATCCAGAGTGAGGGCTGATTCCTCAGTCAGCTGCCTCTCAAGCCTTCCTCTCTGACCAAGCCTCACTCCCCTGAGCCCCCTGATTGCTGTCACCATAGTGATTCTCTGTGTACTGCCGGCTGGTCTCCGCACCCCCCCCCTTAAACACCCCACCCCGCCTCTCGCAACCACCCGGC